ATCGTCGATCAACGCGTCCACATCCAGCGCCCCAAACAGCCTTGCGATGTCCCGTCAACGCCGGCCGAGCTGCCATCGTCTTTAACCCGACAAGCGAGAAATGGCCCCCAACAACCGGCCGGGTCAGGAACCCAACAGACCATCCCTCATCTAGACTGATCAGATCCCCAAACACTACATTCTCCGTCCGTCGCACATACGCCTCTAGTCCTGATACAAACATCTCCCGCGTCACGTTCGAACTCGATGCCCCCGCCGCCCACATCATCCAGTCCGTCTTCGCTCGGTTCCGCGAGCGTGAATCCAACGGCGGCCCATATGGTCCTTTACCCGCTTGGATCAGATACCATTGGTCTTGCATCTCATACACCCATTCAGGAAATAACTTAAATCCAAACAGCTTATCGAAGTATAAATTATACTGTATTACAAGATAAAATCTTGGCTTGATCAGCTTTCTAACAAAAATAGAGGAGATGGGACAGAGAAGAGAAAGTGGTCAAGAGACGAACTTGAGTGCTCCAAGAAGACTGGTTTCCATAACTGCCTAACAAATGGGTGCGATCATTAGAGACAGCGATTTTCAGGAACTCGCGGGAGAATTCATTAGCTTTATCCTATAAATCATCAAAACAGGACCGGCCGGATTTGAATCAGTTGGGTTATCTGATGATCATCAGAGGATGGATGGATGGATGCAGATGGGGCGGTTGGGGGCGTACACCGTAACGGGTCGAGTCATTCGTTTGGCCTAGCGCAATCGAGATCTCCGACATCGATCGCAAGCCCATGATCCCTTTTACTACCAAACTCGTCTGGTTGGCCGTCGGCCCAAAAACTGTATTTTTACACGATAAAATTCATTCAGATATGTTTTTTTTTAAAAAAAAAAAGTAATGGTAGATCACTTACAATCATCAGTGGATCCTTTTTAGGGCAGATAAATAAAAGTGAAAAGATATCACATCAATAATTGTGAATGATGAGCCATTTTTTTTTTGAAAAAGAAAATGGGGGGGGGGACAGACTTTGATCATCTGGATAGAGAGTATTGTCGACGAGCCAATCAGCCCATTGGACGAGGATCTGATAATAAGTCTGAGCCTGGTGGTGACAGGTGCCCAATCTTAAGCAAGCGAGGAGGATAGCGAGCAGATTACCGGACTCCTCGACGGGAAGATTAGCGTAGATGAAGTCATTTCTGCCGGTCGCATTAGGATAATGGTCGCCCAGATCATGAGGGGTGGGCAACGGCTGGTAGAGGCCGGTGGCGATGTATCTGAAGATGGGCTCCAAGAGCTGCGGGATCATTTGAGGGGCAGTGTAGATCAGAAATGGGAGGAAGGGCGCAATGACATCGACCGTTTGACAGTTACCGTTCGACGAGATCTCTTTCAACATCCACATCGTGCTCGTCCCGTCAACTAGTAGGGAGGGCGAAGAGGAGAGATCCTCGGCCCCCGGATAGTCCGCCCGGACAGCCTCGATGGCCATGAAGATCTGCCGGGTCGAGACCGCCAGGATGTCGGCATACGACCGGCTCTGGACCCGCATCGCATCCGTGTACAGTTGCGCATCCCAGCTCTGACTGGCCGTTAGCACATGGTTGTAGTCGAACAGATGGAAGCCTACCAAGTCGGTCTCGTTCGTGAAGCGCGAGCTCCATAGTGGTAGGAGCTCGACTACTTTCTCCTCGGCCGTCATGTATTGGACCGCCGGACTTCGGATGTGCCCGATGCTCTTGATCACCGTGCGGGAGTTGTAGCTCCGTTTCGGACTCACATATCCGAACGAATGGGCCCATGCCAACACGGGCTCATCGATGATCATCATCGACTCTCCTTCTTCCTCCTCGTCTTCTTCCTCGTTATTCTTCCGTTCGGATGAGGGGATGGGAACACGGGTACGAATCGGCCGGAAGGTGTCGTTGAGCGGCAGGTCCAATTGGCCGGTCTGGGCGAAGACAGAGCGGGTGCGGTTGCCGTCTTGGCCGGCGGAGTGGGTCTGCAAGATCCGGTCCTCGTCGAAGCTCATCGCACTGTACCAGACCCCGCCATGCAGGATCCGGTCGTCTGCTTCCACAAATGGCTGTTGGTTGCGCAGCTTGAGTTGCATGGCCGTCCAGCTCGGTCGCGGGACCCTTTGATCCTTGTAATCCTTCGTATAGCTCGTCCATTCTACATCCATCGCTTCCGAGTCCGCACACCATAATCCATTGATGTCGGTGTAGAGCTCGACCTCGTGCGCCTCGCCATCCGCCGACGAGACCGTCAGACTTAGATACGAGAGTGGCAGTGATTGTCGGAACGGATCGTGTGGCGTGATCGGCGAGAGAAATGTGACGTCTAAGTATACTTTCGCCGGCTCACTTGCGCCTTCTTCCTCTTGTGGTGGTCCTATCGCAAATCTAAAGATCGAGGATGAAGCCGTGTGTTCGAATTTGGTGTTATTAGCTGCTGGCCCTAAAGAAATTCAGAAAAGATTGGGTGAACTCTATTTCTCCTCTGACGTACATATTGGTGTATGTATGTATACAAAAGGAAAAGAAGATGAGAGAAGATTGGAGAAATGCGAAATTTGAAACATACAGTGAGTAAGGTTGCCCATCCAATTGAACACATGTCCGTCGACCCGAATCAAGCCATTCCAGCCGACAGGAGCGCCGGTCCAAAAACGCGGACTGCTTTCGGAGAGATCCTTATCCTGTCCGCCTTGGAGATATGTGCCGAGATACGGCGATCGGACGGCTAATGGCACTACCTGGCAAGTAAGTGTGTGTGTGTCATTTTTTAGTGTTTTTTTTTTTATAGCTATTATGTACATAGTAAGGAAAAAGTAGAATTGAGGTGCTTACGGTGGGTAGGAATGGGATTGCGGTGGTTCCATCTTGGAGTGTCCTGATGGCCTGGATGAGGTGGTTGTTGGTCGTTTCTAGGATGATGATGCTGATTATTATCGTCCAGAGTCTTATGAGACTGTTCTCTTGATGGTTGTTGGTCTTGACCATGGAAGCCTTCATGTTTTTTTTTTTTTTTTTTGGTTTGCAAGTCCAGATATGTTTGTTTTGGTTTGTCAGCCAGATTGATGGCCGATTGTGTTTCGGCTGTGTCTCAGATCCACTTGGTCTCTATGGCTCTTTGGTCGTTAGTAGCAGATGCAACACTTTTTTTTTTTGGTTGAGGTTTTGTCGAAGAACACAACAAGACTCAACTTTACACACTCAAACAGCTTGGAAAATTCTCAAAGAAAAAAAAAAAAAAAAACAGCTCTATACATATTTATTTGACTTAACCCCCCACATTGTCTGACTTTTCATAAGGTCTTTCAACAAACATTCACAGAAGAATGACTATGTACACATGGTGCACCACTTTTGATAGCAGGAACAACATTAAAGCAGATCAACTTGATCATCAGACATCATAGCTAGTATGAAACAGGTTGCTTGACATGATATTATAGACAGGTTATCTCCTTGCTCATTAAAGGAGATAAGCCCTGCTAGTCAAATATGAATTGCTAAAAGAACTGAAATATAATTTATGTATGTATTTATGTAGAGAGACAGTCTCCAGCAGGGCTGCAAAATAAAGCCACTCGAGTGCAAACCAAAACAAAACAAAATTTAACGGATCCATTGCACAAGAACATCCCAGCCGGATATATTGATGAAGGCCGACTATCACAAAGAGTCGAGAGGGTATTAGGAGGCCAAGGTAGATTAATTACAGCCTCAACCCACACTTGCTCAAATCATAGACTTGGTAGAGGCCCTAATCTGATCAAGCTCGGTTTATGGAGACGTCTGGTTCGGCCTTTAGACCTACCTGTTTTGTTGTAAGAGGTGACTCTCTTCACTAATCTTACGTCGACGGGAAGATGGCGCAAGGCTAGAAGCCGATTGTTTCTAGAACCAAAGGAAGTATTTTTTATTTCAAACTAGACGGTCGAGAGAAGAACTCTCTATTAGTACAATCTTTTGAGGGACACGAAGGGAGGAAACAAGATGAAGAGAAATCCAAAGCCAGAAGTACTCACCTAGACGGTCGAGAGAAGAACTCTGCCGTCTAAGTGAGAGGGACAAGACTAGGCTCTATACTCGCCCTACCACACTGTATCTGGTCCTCTAGGCTGTGAAACCCTTGAGACAAGGGGGGTTTCACAGTCTCCCCTCTCTATAAAAGAATTGAAGACCAAACAGTTTTGAAGTTGAAAGAGGAGGAATAAAAAATGGATTCAATCTACCTTTAATAAGAAAATAGTGGTGTTGAATTAGAGAGTGAGTAGAGAGGGGGAATTGAGTCAAAGGAGTGGACTGAGAAGAGACTTGAGATGAGGAGGAGGACAACAATTGCAGTGGTGATCCTAAAATTATTAGATTTTCACTTGACTTCTGATAATTTGGAAAGTTGGTGGGTATAAGGTCATGTTTCCCAGAAGGTCTTGATATTCTTGGTGCAGGGAAAACTGGGTTGGGGGTTCGAGGTCTTGTTACTTGATGATTAAAATAGCGGGGGGAGATTTGCCATGTGGTTGGCCTCATTGTCAGCTCTGGTCTCTTATGTGACCTAGAGTTGATGGGTTTTTGGTCACACTTTAGCCAAAAAGGGCCAGTGGAATTAAGCCTCTCCTCAACACTAGTACAGTGGAGGGGCTAGCTCCTTATAATAATAAGGGACAACAGTGGAATGAGCTTCACTGTGCCGGTGCTTAAGAGAGTAAGAAGGATAAAGTTTGTACTAGTCTTATAAGTTAGTAAAGTAACTTATAAAGACTAGTAATAAGATAAAGAGGAAAGTACAATAGGTTATGTAGATAATATATTACTAAAAACCCCACTCACTAAGTATATGTTTTAGTAAGGTAGTTGGGTTGGTATGGTAATATTGTCTGGGGGATGAATCTCAGGGGAAGAGCCATCCTCTTAAATATTACAGAGCAGGGGTCAATCTGCTGCTGGGACCGGTGCAGTCCCCTTATTGGTGCACTATTCCTTGGGGGAAAGTGTCAGGATATTCAGAGCATGTTAAATGTACATGTGATGAATATCCTTTATTTCAGAAAATACACATAAGAGAGATAAACAGAATATATATTCACACAAGAGAGATAAACAGGATAATCATCTCTTGGATACACCCAAGAGATAATTATCCTTTTCAACTTGATTATAATTTTCATGGAAGAGGTGAATTGATAGAGAGGTTAATCTTTATTAATTTACAGAATAATTATTAACATAAATAATACATGTAAAAAGGAATAACTCTACTTCATAATTATTAACTTAAAGATTACATATAATAATAATTGTTATGTAACCTGGAGGGGTTAAAATCTCATGTAGACACATGGACTAGTGTCTCAGTGTCTGACATTTGCCCCCACCAAAAGGAGAAATTACTCAAAGAGCAATTTTTCAAAACAATATATACCCAAAATCTCTGAGAGAAATATGACATTTTTGAAGGTCATTTATATTGAAAAAATGGTCATCTCATTCTTTTCAATTTTTGTACAAAAGGAAAAATACATGTTCAAGTTTACCACAAACAGAGCACATAAAAGATGATGTTTCAAATTATAAGAATTATTTTGTTTGAACAGTGTTCCAATGATAGACAATTATTGAAAGGTTATCTTGTTCATTGAATATTTTTGTAGACACATGGATGAATTTCTCAGTGTCTAACATCTCCCCTCCCCAAAAAAGAGCAGTAGCCAAGCAGCAATTGTCTTTGTTCTGTTTTGGAGCTTAATAATTTGTTTGTTCTTTATGTAGTCATTTTTCCATAATTTTGTTAAGTCCTTAAGAAATTTCCATCAGTGATTCATATATAAAGTCACTTACTTAATATTGTTGACCAATTCATAAAAGGTTTATTTCACTGCCTTTCACAACTGGAGAAGTAATTAATCACTTGCAATTCTTAGCCAGAGGAGAAAATAAATCTCTTACACATATCTTATTGATTTTTTCAAATAAAAAATAAGAGAAAAGAATTATGCTACATGAAAACTTGAAGTTCTTCTTTTAATAGTCTTCCACTTGATAACAAATGAAAACTTGCTTTATAATGTGGTAAGCTTTAAGAATACTTTCTTATACTGTCTAATTGCAGCCACATGGTTTTCAAATGGATTAGAAAGAGGTGCTTCATTTTTTCTAGATGGGAACTTGCCCAGTCATAGATTCTGATTAATACTTGAAGCAGTAAATGAATTGGTATGAGTACTTCCAATTGCAATTCACACCAGGTCAATTCTGATTATAAATGAAGAGTAAAAATGAAATACCCAGCTACATGTTGAACAGTTGCACCAAAAATGCATAGTGTATGATGAAAAGTAGTAAGAGGGATACAAGAATAATTTTCTCACATAAGAGACTAAAATTGATTGACTCTTAAATAGCTAGCTCAATTTTATTGATTGATGAATGTCCAAGTAGTGGATCAATTGGATTAAAAGTACTGAATACCCTCCTAAGCACTCCTTCACTAGTTAGACTTAGATGATTGGATCACTTTGGTGATTGACTTAAACTCCTGTGGAATAGTGGGCTCGTTTTAAAATCTAATTGGTCAAAATTCTTCAGACCTGAGTATAGCAGCGAGCTATATTTGTTAAACCATCCAGTTATGCACTTTTGATTGGAGCTAACTTGATTTTACTTCTAATGGATCATGAAGATTGAAAAGACTGTCCGGTCAATCCTAAAACAGATCTACAATCAAGTTACAAGAGCAAGAGGGAATCGAGGCAGCAATTATGTAGCTTGCTCTACCTTGTCAGTCAAAGAAAACCCAAAGGAGTGAGTCGGTCTCAGTACTTCTTTGTTAATACTAGTTATGTCATGTCATTACTTGAATGAGTTTATAATGGCCGTTCATTCAACAGCAGAATCCAAATAAGAATCCAGCAATAGTTTTCTTGATCGTTCAACTAAGAAATCAAAGAGCTCTCAATAGGAACAATGTAGTATAGTCAGAAAGACTCAATTTCTGACAAATGGAATGGTGGTATCAGGAGTCTCAGTAAACGTTTGGAAGGGTTGTCACTTTCTGATGACTTCTTCAAGGTCAAAGTCACGGAAAAAACTTTATGAGATCAAAAATCTAGATGATAATGCAGTGACAATGTTTTAACCGCTGACCTGTAATTATATCTAGGTCGCTGCTATCAGCTAGTTTGTACGGTTCTGTTGTGAAAGAACCGCTCGGAAGAACAGATGAAGAAGACGAGATAGATCTTGTAGTTCTTCCTTGGGGGACGAAATAGTTTTCTATCTTCTTCTGGACTGTAGCATTGGTTGAGATCTTGGGAAGAGAAGGCAGTATAGCTGGCTCTCCTGCTTGATGTATCGCGGGCTGGGCAGTGGCAGGATTGACTGAATGTTTAACCAAATCACGCTGTTGTATATTAGCGACCTTGACTGGTTCCACAGCTTTAACAGTCGAAATGGTAGCGGCTTCCGGGTTATCTTTAGCGGTGGATCTCTTGATGCTAATATTCTTCAAGCTATCCTTATCGGTAAGTTTATCAATAGGTTCCTTGCTCTCAAAGGGGTCAGAAGTCGTCAATGATTTTTGTATCCTCAGAGCTGTATTAGAGATTACTGTTGGCTTGTCCAATTTTGATTTTTTGTCGGAACTAGTGTCCCCTCGGATTAAGGTACAACCTCAGGACTAATATTCTTCTTGCCAACGGACCTCGGAGCATTAACTGCTGAGCTCTTAGTTCCTTTGATTTCTTCGAGGTCTGAGCTACTCCGGTAATTGGTCTTTGCACCGGCTCCGAAGGTTTACCTGAAACGGCACTAGAATGCTGTGACGACATTTCAAGTAATCAAATAATCAAACTATAGAAAAAGGCGGAGATGTCAAATGATGGCTATGTTGAGAGAAAAAACCGGTAACAACTTCAGCCCGATGAGTAACACAGCAACGGTGGTTGTATGACAAAATTTCGGTTGGCTGGATAAGACAAAGATGATTCTGCCTTGTTAAAGAAAGTGAAAAAAAAGGAAATCACTAGTGAGTGCTTTTGAATAAGAATCAGAGGAGCACTCAAAAAGGATTTGATCGATAATTGACGAGCTGTACGCTGAACACTCCAATATGAGTATCCAATGTTTGTAGCTTTTCCGACATGTTCAAAGAATTGTGGAATGTGTATTCAACTTTGCACTAGAATCGGACCTGTTAACAAGTCGGATAAGAAACAGTAGTAAGAATAATGTAGAAACTTAATAACCAGAATGGCGGTTTGGAATGGTGGTCGCAGGAAAGAGGAAACACAGCCAGACCCCCAATTGTCAGCTCTGGTCTCTTATGTGACCTAGAGTTGATGGGTTTTTGGTCACACTTTAGCCAAAAAGGGCCAGTGGAATTAAGCCTCTCCTCAACACTAGTACAGTGGAGGGGCTAGCTCCTTATAATAATAAGGGACAACAGTGGAATGAGCTTCACTGTGCCGGTGCTTAAGAGAGTAAGAAGGATAAAGTTTGTACTAGTCTTATAAGTTAGTAAAGTAACTTATAAAGACTAGTAATAAGATAAAGAGGAAAGTACAATAGGTTATGTAGATAATATATTACTAAAAACCCCACTCACTAAGTATATGTTTTAGTAAGGTAGTTGGGTTGGTATGGTAATATTGTCTGGGGGATGAATCTCAGGGGAAGAGCCATCCTCTTAAATATTACAGAGCAGGGGTCAATCTGCTGCTGGGACCGGTGCAGTCCCCTTATTGGTGCACTATTCCTTGGGGGAAAGTGTCAGGATATTCAGAGCATGTTAAATGTACATGTGATGAATATCCTTTATTTCAGAAAATACACATAAGAGAGATAAACAGAATATATATTCACACAAGAGAGATAAACAGGATAATCATCTCTTGGATACACCCAAGAGATAATTATCCTTTTCAACTTGATTATAATTTTCATGGAAGAGGTGAATTGATAGAGAGGTTAATCTTTATTAATTTACAGAATAATTATTAACATAAATAATACATGTAAAAAGGAATAACTCTACTTCATAATTATTAACTTAAAGATTACATATAATAATAATTGTTATGTAACCTGGAGGGGTTAAAATCTCATGTAGACACATGGACTAGTGTCTCAGTGTCTGACACTCATCATCCAACAGTTCTTCCGACCTGCAAGAGATTGACCACATGAGTAACCCCTGACTTTGATTGGCTTACTGCTAGCACGGACAGACTTCAATGAATGGACATACCCATCATTTCTCAATGTGTCTAGGTGTTTGTCAAGGTCTTTGAGGGCCGCTACCGCTGCTCGATCCATTTCAGGAAAGAAGTTGTCCCCGGATATATTGAATGTCGCCTTTTCCGGTTGTTTCTCCTGTGTCTCAGCTAACTTCTTTTCGGTCTTGGCCAGTTCAAGTTCATCGTTCATCAGTTGAATTGCCGAGACTGCTGCTTCATCAAGGGCTGAGTATAAGTCCTCTTCTGCCAGTGCCGAAACAGAAGCTGTCTTTGGGGATGGTCGTCCAGCTGGGAGATTAGTTGGCTTGCCCGCCAATGATTGGGTACCGTTGCGTGGGGTTGGGCGTTTGTAATCACTTGGTTTGGCTGGAGCTACAAAGGAGGGAGGGATGGGGACAATGGACCGATCCAGTGGACCCGGACAGGTACCCGGTGCACTACCACAGGCTTTCTTACAGAAATGGCAAAGGCCTTGTGAGTCAAGATAAGCATGGATGCGCCAGATGAATTCGTCCTTAGTGAGTTGTCTGGTCTGTTGTACGGGTCCGCTAGGTTGGATGCGTGGCTCGTGAGTTGGCAGGTGTCTCATCAAGTTTTTGTGGTAACCAGAGGCTTTTTTCTCAAAGGTAGCATATACAAACGGTGTTTGTTCTAGGAGTTCAAAGTCATCGATTTTTCCTCGCAGTGCACCAGAGGTCCCAAACGTCACAAATTGAGCTAGCTCCAGGTCAGTGAGTGTTGCTTCATCAAAGTTGTGTAGGCTTTGTAGTGTTCGTGCTCGAGTACTGTAGGCTAAGAAAGATTCTGAGTTGAGCATCTGCAGATGTTGAATTTGTTCCTTGAGGTCGGTGCGCCAGCGGGGAGGTAGCGCAAAGTCAAACAAGGCTGCTTTAAACTCCTTCCATGTGCCCCCAATATAGGTTGCCGATCCGTTGTGATAGAAGGCTAGTAAGTTAGTCTCTTTGATCAGGCTCCCCGCAATACGGACTTTATCTTCAGCGTGGGTTACTCCTTTTGTTGAGAAGAAGATCTGGATACCCCGCATCCACTTCAAAAAGGCCTCAATTTCGCCAAACGGTCCTCGGAAGATGGGGCCGTCTGATAGCCTGAACTTTTGGAGATCTATTCTTCCCGGACTGATTGCTGTAGTCTGTGACGGTTGTTCGGCCTTGGTTGATAGTTTAAGAACAGCCTGTTCAAGCATGTTGATCCTCTCGGAAGCCGCAACGCGATCCGCTTCGGCACTCAATAATGATTGATGTTGGGTTTTCATGACAAATCGCATGAATTGGTCCAAGGGGACATTGTCGTAGGTGAGTGTAGCGGGACCCGCGGATGATATTGTCTCCGACTTGGGCGTCGGGTTGGTAATGGATGTTGTTTTTCCTTCCTTGGCTGAATCACCCGATTTTGAAGAGGATGGTAGCGGTGTTGACATTGCTTCGCTAGACAATGGAGAGACCTCGTTTTTGGGAGGTGAGGAGGGTAAAGACGCTGCGGGGTTGCCTTGCGATTTGCGGGCCTCTGCGTTTGCTTTAGCTGTCGCTACTCTAGCTTCGCTCGCAGCTAGTAGTTTGGCTTTTCGCTTCTCGGCGTTTGCGGCTCTAAAAATCAGATTGGGATCGGATTCCGGTAGCAAGTTTTGATTTGTCGATCGAGTCGACATGAACTGGTCACAAGGCAGGTTTGATCGTTGTTCTTGCGAGTCGTCGAGAACGACACGATACAATCAAAGACGGTTAGGTAGCGCGGTGTAGAACGGGCGGGCGGATTTCGGACAGGATGGGCAGGTGCAATTACCAAACGGAAAGAGAGGGTAGTTTAGAGTGTAATAAGAAGAGATTTCGGACAAGGCAGGTCGGTGTAAGTATCGAACGGAACGGGCGGTTATTTTAGAGTGTAACGGGCAGGCGGAACAGAACGGAACGGGCAGGCGGAAATCGGAGAGAACGGGCGGGCAGTAGGTTGTTGATGATTTTGTTTGAGGTTCAAGAAAAAAAAAGTGTAAGAGGTGACTCTCTTCACTAATCTTACGTCGACGGGAAGATGGCGCAAGGCTAGAAGCCGATTGTTTCTAGAACCAAAGGAAGTATTTTTTATTTCAAACTAGACGGTCGAGAGAAGAACTCTCTATTAGTACAATCTTTTGAGGGACACGAAGGGAGGAAACAAGATGAAGAGAAATCCAAAGCCAGAAGTACTCACCTAGACGGTCGAGAGAAGAACTCTGCCGTCTAAGTGAGAGGGACAAGACTAGGCTCTATACTCTTAGTAGCTTATGTAATCTGGTCCTCTAGGCCTTGTGAAACCCTTGAGACAAGGGGGGTTTCACATTTGTACTACAGAAGTGCAGTAAGAATTACATCCGAATGCACTCCTGTAGTGCAAAAAAGGTGGTTTGGGATACAATCCCGCCATCCCGCCATCCTCCCCCCCCCTCAAAAAATATGTAGGACCCTTGGAATGCTTTTTCTCGGTAACAGATCCCCAATCCCAATCCCCTATCCCTAACCCCTATCCCTAACCCTATCCCTAATTCCTAACCCTAATCCCTAATCCCTAACCCTATCCCTAATCCCTAACCCTATCCCTAATCCCTAACCCTAAGGCCTAATGCCTATTGGGGTGATTGAGAAGGGTGGTTTTTTATTTATTTTTGAAGTCGAGCTTTGATCGGTTTGACTGGAGGGGGATTGCGGGATCGGGATTGGGAGCGGGATTTACCGCTTTTGTACTGTAGGAGTGCATTCACATGTATTTCTTACTGCACTTCTACAGTGTATGGGATGTAGGTCCATAGGTCTGTCTGGTGCACTGCAATAAAGTAGTACTACTAGAGGCGAGTCAGGTCGATGTCTGGCCGGTGTGGAAAGTAAGGCGCGTCCTAGGAGATTTCTGGTACTTCTCCCGCTCTGCAACCCGTCTACTCCGATTTGTTGTTCGGGGTAACTTGCTTGATGGTCTTGTAGGTAGGGTAAAAAATAGCTCTCTTTATTGTTATTTTGTAAGTAATACTCTAACTCTAATCTCTCTCTAACAATTCTTTAGGCTAATACACGATTCACTCCTGAGTAACTCTGTTTTTTTTCTGATATCTTCTGAGTCGTACTTCCCCCCCTCTTTCTCTTCTTCTGCCTCGAAACTCCCCTCCTCCTAAGTATCCCACACTCCAGTTCCTCCCTGCTTCCCACGATGTTGTCCGCTGCCACCCCCTCGAACTCCGCATGTCACCCCTCCGACGCCTGTCGGTCCAGATACTCCTCCGGCCGCTCATAAGCAGGTCTCCCACCGCCGCTTCCGCCTCTGGTCCGCTCCGAACCCCGCTTCCGCCCCTTGGTGCTCCCCGCTCCTTGTAGCCCCTCCGCAGTATACGCTGAACCCCCGTTCCGCAGTCGGCCGTGATCCCCGGTGTCTGCCGGTGCCCGGATTCCCCGCAGTAAGCTTTTCAGAACCTTGTGCATTCGGTCTACTTTTCCCCGCTTTCCCGCGCCTCGGAAGCTAGACTTTCCACTTAATGCACCGCCGCTTTCCTCAGCCTGCTTGTGTAGCGTCAGCTCTGTGTGCTTTCCGCATCAGCGCCGCGAGCATTCCGCATGCCCCCAAACAAACTGGCCAAAGCTTTGGCCAAGGCGCGCTCTTGCCACCACACCGGCTTCTCTGTCAAACAAATCATTTACTTTCTCAAGGCATTGTTATGGAGGAAAAAAGAAAACTTGGCATACTCGCAGTGAGGTGCATATGATCAAGGACTAAGACAAGATCTCCGTCATACCAGCTGACTAAATTACTCGAGTGATTTTAATGAGAGTACAGCCAGATACTTCCAATTATCCAATGAGATTTTATTTATTTTTTAAGGCCCCAATTATAAACCAATATTTTGAATTTTTGGTTTTTCTATTTGAAAACCATTTGAAAATGGAAAAGAAATGAAAAAGAAATCAGAAAGAAGTTTGAATATTATTTCAAAATATACTGGAATACAATGTGCAATTATACAGCAGTAGCATTGTTAGGCCTAGATGTGTCATCGGGCAGGGTAAGCTATCAAGTAAAGCTGGTGTGGCATGGCCCAAGGCCCCCAGGTGAGTGCAGGGTCTACCATCTCTGATTTGGCCCCTGCTAACCATGGTTGGATTGATGGATGTAGGGCCCCGGCACCATGTTGCATTGCGGAGTGGGGGATGTCTGTTCCGGGCCGGATGAGCATCTGCCAATCTTGGTATGAATTTCAATCACACATGGATGTACAGACAGAATCTGGGTATGGATTTCAATTATACAGGGATGTACAGACACAAACATCGGTATTGTATCTCAAGATGGTGTTTTTGAGATTCAAACCACCTCTGGAGGAGGTTTGAATGGTTTTGAGCTCGGTTTTGAAATGAAAAAGAAAAGGAAAAAAAATCAAAACAAAGTTGCAACACTTTTCAAATTATTTCAAATACATTTTGAAAAGGTGTTTATAATTGGGGCCTAATAAGTCATCTAGTGAATATTAGATGCAGTTTGTTGCAATGCAAAGCAACAGACAATCGACTACTTGAATTATGCTTGGCAGACTGTCGAAGATACAGTCATAGGAATTACAAGTTGTCCGGCTCACGAACAAGCCGGTTTGCTCGAGTGATCCAAGAGTGCATCCAGATATAATTTCTCCAAGGTCCTTCATACAATGGCATGAGGCTGCGCAACTTGCTCCTTGTGGCAAGGAAACAAAATTGTTTCTCTCCAGCAGAGAGCGAGAGAGCCAACACTTGAAATAGCCATATAAGACTTGGTAGATTTGCCTTGCCAGAGTGTCTGCCTCAAAAAAGTCCTCCTAAAGAACTGCTAATGCGAGGCCCTTGAATTGTCGGAGGCTGAGCACCTTTTGATATTACTTGTCACGGGGAAGCAAGACCCCCCCCCCCAGGAGAGAAAGCACTTGGCACAGGTAGATTGGTCGACCAGAGTGCCCGTCAGACCGGGTTGCTCGAGTGATGGTGTAGAAAAACTCATCCGAGCTCGGCTTATGTTCTGAAAAGCTGACTATTTGTGGCGAGCAAGCACAAGAAAGCACAGCCAGATACATCAATACTTATCCAAGATCCACTTGTCTGACCAACTTCCTTGGGACTTGTGTGGACACTTGTTTTAGGGAGAACAAACACTTGGCACACTCGCCTTGATCAGGTTATATCTAGGACCAGGATAAGTCGCCCGGTCGGTCGTATTGTCCATCAAACCGGTTTGCGCAAGCGATGGTTGTCTGACGGACAGCCAGATACTTGTCCGACGTTCATCCGTCTGGGCAACTCGTCAGTCGTAGCAGGGAAGCAGGGAAGCAAAGGGTGTCCGTCAAACCGGTATGTTTGAGTAATCTTCATGGAGTACAGCCGGATACTCGTGCAAGCTCCAGTCCGGGCAAGAAAACTTGGCATATAAGCTTTGGAGGTTAGCAAGAGCAAGACATGGTCTGTACTTGACATCGGGTCTCTGGAAGTTCCGTTAGCCGTTGAGACGGTTCCTACACCAATGTCTCACAAACAGTAAAAAAACTCGGCGGACACGCTTGGCAAGACAGTGATCACTTTGGACGCCATCCCGTACGTTCTTGGTGCAGTCTTTTCACCAACAAGAGGGGGGGTCAAATGAGATTATAAATAGACCAGGGATTCTGTGGTTTGATTGTTCTCATCATCCCAGTTCCCTCATCAGCATCATCATCACCACCATTATCTATCTAACTTAAGCAGGTTCATACTCAGAAATCCGACCACCCAAGCCATCCATAACCATGCTTCTAACCAATGTCTTAGTCGCCTTACAGCTCTTACATTGCTACAACATTTCTGCACATCCACTTCCAGCTGAAAATCTTCTGGGTGTCAAGACAGTAGAAACTGTGACGATAAGGCCAGAAAGGGGCTACTGCGGCAAGGCAGGTAGCATGGGTAGAGCAAAGGGGCAAACCTAGATTATCATTTCATTAGGTTTACACGTGTTGTATTTAGCTCACTTAGTCCAGTTGTACACATTTCCCTTTTCCTTCTTTTCTCACTCATCATCGCTCGCCTTTCCTCTGCACACCATCAGGTGCATAGTCTCTTCATTTCGTCTCACTCCTCCCCATCGTCCTCTCTTCGTCGGTTCTCTTCTAGCCTCCTAGCTCATCCGCTGCTCCGTGGTGTTTCTCAGGTCTGCTTCTCTTCCTGTTTCTTTCTTTCTTTCTTCCCTTTCCTTTTCTTCTGTCCTTCTCTTTTTTCTCTTGCTCACTATGCAATGAACCACTCATCATTGCTCGCCTTTCCTCTGCACACCATCAGGTGCATAGTCTCTTCATTTCGTCTCACTCCTCCCCATCGTCCTCTCTTCGTCGGTTCTCTTCTAGCCTCCTAGCTCATCCGCTGCTCCGTGGTGTTTCTCAGGTGCATAGTATCTTCATTTCGTCTCACTCCTCCCCATCGTCCTCTCTTCGTCGGTTCTCTTCTAGCCTCCTAGCTCATCCGCTGCTCCGTGGTGTTTCTCAGAAACTGCAATCGAAGCAGCTCAATCTGGCCACCTTGCTGGACCTGGATGTATGTTAATATTCTTCATCCAAGATTGATTTAAAATCTCAGATCAGGAATGATCAAAAGGAAATTAAACTAGTTGATGTTTCTTATTTGGTAGCTGTTGACGCAGTTGCTAAATCAACTTGTATGTTCAATTTATTCCACGTTCTCTGATTGATTTCAAGTGAGATTTGATTCCTGATTGATTTGATGATTCTCATTTCCTTAGTTGTGTTAGAGGGAAAAATCAAACAAGGAGAAGGGGTTGCTTTACCAGCTCAAACTAGTAAATCAACTGCCATCAAGGAAATACAAGCTCTCCATGAATCAGGCGGTGCGGTGGCAAAAGAAGTAAAACCAAATGAAGAGGTAGCTAAAATTGGCCTGCCAGCTGAAATCCAGAAAGCACAGTCTCTGGATGCAAAAGTGGCAGTTAAAAATGTGGAAAAAGTCCAGGAAACATCACCAAATGAAATAGCAAGTGGTACAGTCAATGAAAAGACTGGATCAGAAAAAGTGGCAGATATAAGTGGGGGCCCCTATCATGTCAAGAAAGCTCCATATAGTTATATTGAAGATCGTTAGTATTCCTATTTTCTCTAGAAATTAATCAAAATTTTTATTCACTGAACTTTATATCTCAACCTTCTTAAAATACAGGACTAGGGCCTTTATCTCCTGAGTTTGAAGAAATCAGATATATTCCTCATGAACATATCCAAAAGTTCTGGTACATGATGAAAGACAACAAGAAAGAATTTTCTGCAAGATTTTACCAAGAAATGGAAGGATTACAGGAGAGCAAAAAAGGCAGTAAGTTTATGTTTTGTTTTTTATTTTTGTTTAATCAAAAAAACTACTGCTATATTTTCTGTGTCTTTTGAAGGCTGAAAATTTGATTTTTATTTCTTTATTCTAATTAGTTGTAGTTGATGGGAACATCAGTTCAGAAGGTTCAAACCAAGTAAAAACTAAGGATAGATTTGAGGATTTAAAACAAATCCCCACAAAATACCTTGAAACTTTACAGAAAATAGCAAAAGCAAACCCAGATGATATTTCACAAAAGATTAACAGGGAATTGGGGGAAGCATATCACTTGAGTCAGTCATAAGATTTTTTTCTCTAGAAATTCATCAAAAATTGCATTCACTGAACTTTATATCTGAACCTTCTTAAAATGCAGCACTAGGGCCTTTATCTCCTGAGTTTGAAAAAATCAGAGCTATTCCTCATGAGGATTTCCAAAAGTTCTGGTACATGATCACAGATAACAAGAAAGAATTTTCTCACAGATTTTATAAAGAAATGGAAGGATTTCAGCTGAGCAAAAAAGGCAGTAAGTTTATGTTTCATTTTTTTTTGTTGAATCACACAATCTACTGCAACGGTTTGGGAGTGTTTTGAAGGCTAAATTAAAATTTGATTTCTTTTTTTATTCTAATTAGTTGCAGTTGATGGGAACATCAGTTCAGAAGTTTCAAACCAAGTAAATGCTAAGGATAGATTTGAGGATTTAAAGCAAATCCCCCAGGATTACCTTCAAATTTTGCGGGACATAGCACAAAAAAACCCAGATGACATTTCAAAAAAGATTAACAGGGAATTGGGGGTAGCATTTCACTTGAGTAAGAGTCAATCATAAGATTTTTTTTTCCCTTTTGAATCTTTCCTTGAGTCAGATTATTGCACAATACCACTTCAAAATTCAGTTTCCTTTTTAGAATCACTTTTACTTGTACTGTTCCATTTTTTTCTCTCTTTGAGAATTCCTTTTTTCTTTCTTTCTGTCTTTTTGGGATGATTTTGGGCCATGCTTCAGGCCTTGTTTGGCACCAATATAGCTGAGTGATATCATGTCAATTCTTGTGACATCTGATCAAGTTTTTGCAGACCTGATCAGATGTCAGGCAATATTCCACTTGCATTACATTGCTGCCAAACATGGTGTCTGTCTTTATAAAAAAAAATAAACCAAAAAAGGTGCCCCTCTGTTTTTTTTTCACTCAGTTTATTATTATCCAGAATTGATTCATAAGATTGATCATCAAGTCATGTGTAGTCTGTTTTTTTGTGGGTTTAGGGTTAGGGTTAGATCTAACCAGTATATTCAGGGACTGATATTCAGAATTTTCATCTGATGTTTTTTTTGCCTCATTCATTGACCTTGCTGGCTGTTTTGGCCAATGGTAAATTTCTGCCTTTAATCCAAATGACTGCAAGCTGGTACAGCTGGTGCTAGCTTGAGTTTTACCAAGGAGACATACCCCTGAATGTGATGGTGTAAATTTTTTCAATGGTTTGTCAAGGATACATCTTCCTGAATAAACCACCAGAAGCTTTTTTCAGCCCATCCAAGGGTATTTTGGCCAAGATTTTTAAGGCTGAAGCTGGTCCTGAATTTTTCAGGAAGATGTCCTCTTTGCAGTCAGCAAAAGCTATATCAGCATGGCCATGATCCATTCAGTCATTGACTTGACACAAACAAACACAGTAATAAGGAAAGAACTTGTCCATTACACAAGACTCCAACTGGCTGCCAGTGGCGGTGCTCTCAAGGAGCCACAAAATACCAAACTAAATTTATAGCCTCAATAGGCCTCAATTCATGTCTGGATCATTGGCTAGTTGGTTGGCCCAAATTAACTCGGCATACAGAGAAACTGAGACGTGGTCAAGGTTGATTTGAAATTGTGGAGACCGCTCCACTTATACTGGATCATCAGCTCAAGGTCCGGTCAAGTTCTCCTGCAGACTGATTTGCTTGCTGAAGAGAGGACAAGCAGTCTGGGTAGCATCCAAGAGTGCAACCAGACACTTATCCGAGGTTCTTTCGAGTACAGCCAGATACCTAAAAGCTCTATTTGCCTGAGCAACTCACCAAACACTCGTGGTCACTTGTCTCAGGAAGAACAAACACTAGGCACATTCAATTTCATAAGGTAGAGCTAGGAAGACAAGTCGTCCGGTCGGTTGAGGACCAGGACAAGTTGTCCGTTTGGTTGTCTTGTCCATCAAGAAGTGGCCTGAAAACTGGTCCTACATGAGCGAATTTCGAGGTTTGAAATCCCTCCTATTGTAAGAAGGAATATACATATATTGCTGTTCGGAGTCACTATACTTCTTTGCTTTCTCTAACTACTACTTCCAGACTTTGATAATATTGATCACTAAAGCAGGCTAATTGTATACAGATGATATCCAAGCTAGAGAGATCTGTAATTTGTTGTCATTCTTTCAATTTTTTTTGTATATATTGCTAAAACTAATTCAAGTCAAGCAAAGAGTTATCAAGAACAAATCTGGGTGCGAATAAGCGATTGACAACCTGAAGACGCCTTACAGCCAGACCGAATTGACCAGACCAAGTGTTGATCCAAGTTGCAATAGAGTGGTCAAGTTGGGATGTTCGAAAGCCTTCGATGTTGTTGTTCAGCAGAGGAGGAGGATGAGGAGGAAGAAAACAGCGGGAAACAATCGTCAAGGGCATTTTCACTCTCAATGGGAGAAAATTGGCCAGTTCGGCAATTCGAAGACAGAGAGTACTGCGACAATTATGAGCATTGACGATCATTTCTTCCTCTTCCGAATCTGATCCGACATCCGGATCTCCGATAACCGTATCATTACACCTCTTCAAGGCTCGCAGTAATTCTTCGCAATCCCAATCAAGCGATTGAGACAATTGATTGACCGATTGTAATTGCCCCGAGGACAGCTCCATGTATGGTGACGGCGTTTTCGTGTTGTTGCTGATTCCCGATCTTGATAACTTCTTGAAAAGTAGTCGCGTTAACTTGATGATTGGCAAGATTGATTCAGCTAGTTTGATCGGTACCATCAGAGACTGACGCGCGGGAGTCAATCTGGATTGCTTGTTTAATGAATGAGTTTGTATTGAATCGATCAGGTTGAGTAATTTCTTTAGATTGGCATCCATAACAGATACATGGCTTGGCCAATTCAGCTGGACCATTTCGTATTCGGAGGCTTTTATCCAAGCAAGAGTTGAATCGATTGCCTTCAGGACAGAGTGGCCGTATTCAGATTTCCATGCAGAGCACATGTAGCGACACCATCGGGGAATCTTCTGATTTGAAAGGTTGAGTAGTCGAATAGAATCAACAGACTCCGAAAAAAGTGCAGAAAGAAAACCGGACAAGTTTTTTATAAAATGGGTGCGCAAGTTAAATAGTCTGAAGGATTTGAGCTCTTTGAGGTACTGATCATTTCCGAATTTCATTAGTACCTTAGAGACTGAAAGCGTAGCAGACTGAATTTGATCCCAAGTTTTATCGACTTCTGGTTGGAGAGCTAAGATTCTCTGGAGGTGTAATGTTGGGTCTTCCTTTAGGTTACTGGGCTCCAACGATAAGG